GGTGGGCTAGGGGGTTGCCCCCGGCGGGTAACAATCCAGTCTATCCAGTCACCCTGGCTCTGCTCAAAGAGCTGCCATGGCTCTTGGCTTGATTGATGGAGGAGGCACTGGAGCTGGAGAAGTGTCTGAGGTCAGGCATTTTGAACTGCAAACTATCACCCCTGGTGATCTTCAAAAAACCCCAAAAGTGGCCTTTGCTTCCTGCATGTGACTAGATGCCCTTTGTCCTCTCTGTACACAGGGTTTCTGACCCTGGGCACGGCTGCAGTGCAGGTTACACAGTTACCTGGCTGCTCCATTGTCCTCTACCTAATCGGATCAATTAAATACTCACAGTTTTACCAGTCCATTTACCATTACTGGGTCTCCCTCCTTCCATTCTGCTCCTGAAATGGAGGCAATGGGCTTTGGAGATTACTAGTCCAGTCTCACTCTTGCAGTGCATTAGCCTGGGAATGAGGTGCATTGCAGGTACACAGCCAAGGAATTTGGGGGAGAAACACCTGGCAGTTGATTCCTTGTGGGTCCCACATGGGGCACAGTATTCCCTATGGTACTATGGTATATTTGCCAGGGGCTCAGCTTGCCTTCAGCTATGGGAAAGCCACGCATCTCAGAGATACGTGTCCACAGCCCACAGGGCCATAGTGTGCTTGAGAGCCGGCAACTTCTGCCTTCTACATCCACCAGATTAGAAGCAAGGCCAATGCTCTAGCAAAACACCTTTCCCCATGTAGACATGAGAACCAGGTGAACACAGTTCTGTGACACAGCTATGGTAGACATATCACAGCTCAGAGGCTGCCAGAGAAGCTGAGATTTAGGAGTTGGGCTTGAGCAGCTGACTTCTCTGTGAGTATGTTGTTATTGCTTCTTTACAAGACTTGAAGGAAATGTCTCCAAATTCCTCAGGGCCTCCTGTGCTTAGTGACTACGAAAGCAACTCTGGCTGAGGACAACAAAGCCACAAAAGAGGGAGAGTCTAACCTAGGCAGCAGATAAAGATGATAGCTTTAATGTTGTAATGTTGTTAATTTACATGATACTTTAAGTTAAGCGAAGTGTTCCTGTCAGTGGTAGTTTAGTTGGGGTATTTTTTGGTGGGGGTGGGGGGTGTTTCTTTTTAGTGTAAGAAAGCTCTGATACAGAAAAGTGATGAAAAGAGAGTAGCAGAAACACAGAGCTTTTTTTTTTTATTTTTTTTTTTTCATGTTTGTTTACCCACATTTGCCTGTGCAGCAGCGTTTGGCTGTAAGTAGGGCAGTTAACTCTTCTCCTTCTAACTGTTTTTCATTAGGTGAATGCAAAAACTGTGGTGAGACCACAGAGAATGGTCAAAACATCTATTCAAATGCTATGTAAATGTTATTTACTGGGGTGCAGAACAGGGCTGAAGACTAAGAGATCATCAGTGCTTGCACCTGACAGCACGTGGTCTGTGCCACACTGCCATCATGATCACAGACGCAGCTTACATATCAGGTCTTCTGCTGCCCCTGCAGAGGACACTGGCAAGCGGACAGGGGTTCTGCATCCATTTGCACACTGACAGTTTCAGTGCTTTGGAGGAAGAATGATCTTCTGCCTTTGCAAAGTGCCTGGAGCAGCAGTGCTCCCATCTGTCAGGGGCACTGCCAGCAGCCACCATCCTAGGGACAGCAGCTCCACAGGTGAAGTGTTTCCCTGCTTTCTTCATGGGTGTATCACAAGTCTGAATATTTACACCCTCAGTATTGCTTGGCAAGCATGTGAATGGAAGTCAAAACCAACAAAGGGCTACCATCAACCTTCACTTTCTGTTTGTAATGAAATCCAGTAACAGTAATTTGATTATAAAGTATTTCAAATACCATGCTATATATGAGCTAACTCCTGATTGGATCTGGAGCTCCATCCTCAATATTGGGGGTGTTAGCACCCAGCTCAGATGTGTGTGGAGAAGTCAGACCCCTACTTAGGCAGAAGGGTTCAGCTGTGCTCTCTGGTGGGGACTGATCCGGGCTTCACGCAAATGAGCAAAATCTCTGTAAAAATTTCAACAGATAAACAGTGACTAGAGAAAGGAGAATGAAGTCACAGCTACATCTTATGCCATCCAGAGGGACCTGGACAGGCTTGAGAGGTGGGCCCCTGCCAGCCTCATGAAGTTCAACAAGGCCAAGTGCAAGGTCCTACATCTGGGCCAGGGCAATCCCAAGCACAAATACAGGCTCGGTGGGGTATGGCTGGAGAGCAGCCCTGAGGAGAAGGACCTGGGTGTGCTGATTGACCAGAAGTTCAGCATGAGTCAGCAATGTGCAATCGCAGCCCAGAAAGCCAATTGTATCCTGGGCTGCATCAGAAGAAGTGTGGTCAGCAGGTCAAGGGAGGCGATCCTGCCCCTCTACTCCACTCTCGTGAGACCCCACCTGGAGTACTGCGTCCAGCTCTTGAGCCCTCAACATAGGAAAGACATGGACCTGTTGTAGCAGGTCCAGAGGAGGGCTACAAAGATGATCAGAAGGCTGGAGCACCTCTCCTATGAGGACAGGCTGAGAGAGTTGGTTTTTTTCAGCCTGGAGAAGAGAAGGCTCAAGGAGACCTTATTGTGGCCTGGAGGCCTACAGGAGAGCTGGGGAAGGACTTTTTACAAGGGCATGTAGTGATAGGATGAGGGGTAATGGCTTCAAACTGGAAGAAAGTAGGTTTAGATTAGATATTAGGAAGATTTTTTTCACCTGGAGGGTGATAAGGCACTGGAACAGGTTGCCCAGAGAAGTTGTGGAAGCTCCATCCTTGGAGGTGTTTAAGGCCAGGTTGGATGGGACTTTGAGCAACCTGGTCTAGTGGGAGGTATCCCTGCCTGTGACAGGGGGGGTGGAACTTGATGATCTTCAAGGTCCCTTCCAACCTAAACCATTCTATGGTTCTATGATTCTATGATCTGAGAGGTTCCTACATGAATTGTAAGACAGGGTGAGTTCTGCTCTGCTCCCTGCCAAGTACATTCTCTGCTAAGTCAATACACTTTTTGCCCTTGACTTTAATGGGATGAGGGCATCTCCCATGGTATGATTTCTTGGGATATTACTAGCATCCTATGAGACAAATTTATTAACAGGTGAATCACACCTAAGAGTCCACTCTGTAATTAGAATAGGGCTGTTAAACAGCAACTGGTTTCAGGGGTATTGTTTTTGCAAATGATAATCTGTTTGTAATTAACTAAACCAAATGTAAATTTTTTCTCAGACTGATCGTTATAGCCACTTTAGAAGGAGTGGGAAGTCTCCCACTGAGTTTATCATCCTTACTGTGCTGAGCTTTCTCTTGTTGCCCTCCAGTG